TCACACATTTCCTCCGCACAATGGGCCAAATGGAAAACTGAGGACAGTCAAAAATGATTATACTGTTTTTGAGTTTTTGTTAATTATTTATCGTCCCACTTCACCTGAGAGCCCCATTTACTCGAATTATTTTAGTTATAGCCACCAGAAAAGGTAACAAAAGTTTCTCATCGTGAAGACCTATTTTTTTTTAAAAAAAAATAATAGTTGCACACAGTTTGGCTCCTTTAACGAAGGGGTTTGGTCCCTGCTTGCGACTCTGTGGATGCTTTTGGAGACGTTAATTGGACTTGAGCGTCTTGTATTGTGCCTACGAATTATTGCAGGTCTTATATTTTTTTAATGCCTGAATGAAATACCATCCGTGGATATATGATGACACCGTGTCTAAAAGCGTAGATGCTATTTGATCTAAAACATATGTACATACAGGTGAAAAATGTTCATACTAATTTGTGTGATACGTATAAGTGAATGAATGAATTCAATTATTCCCGAAAATAATTCATATCCTTTCAACTGTTCACACTATTCAAAATTAGATAAAAATCCTCTTTTACTTGCCATCAAGTTTTGACTCAACTCTTTTTTGGCCTGTTACGTCCTACTTACGTCCTATTGATGCTAATCTAGCTTTTAGAACTTTAGAATTTGTTGCTCCGAAAGATATTCAATGTAACACATTCTTAAAGTATTGAAAAAAATTAGATTAATCTGCGCGGTGTTGCCAAATTGAACGAATAAAAAAAATTTGCAGAAATATTTTGTGCGGAAGTGTCAATCTAAAATTTTGTGTGGAAATGTCAAAATCGGAAATTTTGTGCGGTAACGCGAACCTTCCCTTCAAGGAACTGAATATTTCGATCTACATGGATCCCCGAACTTCAACATTTTTTACTTAAATTTAAAATTAATCACTTTCAAGCAGATTTGATCGTTGTGCTCTTGGCACTTACAAGCCAAAAGCTCACTGTGCGCTAGAGTCTTGGGGCGGTGTTTGCCTTCGTTAGCGGACGTCAATTCCCGCCTTCCCGGCGTGCGTGGGTGGGGGTAGGAGTACAGCTCCTCGGGGGAGGGGGAGGGTGTCCTGCGGGAGAGTGGTCGTCATCCAGGTCACGCAATTCCCGGATCCGCGACGCAGTATTTATTTGTTTAGCGGCAGAGGAGGGATGACCTGCGCAAGGGCTTGCCTTTGTTCGGTCAATTGGATTCAATTAGATTTGAGATTTGAGTAATTACAAACTGGACAGGAGGCGAGGCGTTTCGAGGTGACGAAATCAGAGACAAAATATTATTCCAGAGACCCCGCACTGTTATCCTGCCATGCTATGGAAAAGCGCCGTATGAACAATCGAGAGTTGCCAAATTTCCTCCCATATAAAATGTCTATTTTTGGGGGAGAATATGCATATCTTTCTGTGATAATTACAGAAATTTAGGAAAAATTGCAGACAAAATTATCCAAAAAATTGGAAGAAAAATATTCATAAGTTCATACGGAAATTCGTGTTTCAGCAAAGGAAATTTGACAATGCCTGAAAGTTCAGACGGCGTTTACCCTTTGGCGAGGCGGTATCTTCTCTTTGAAGTAATAGTTACTCTCAGAAGTCATTGCTCAGGTCCGCCAAATGATGGCCCAGTACCAAAGAGTTGAGTAATGGACCAGTGGACAAGGTGCAAATTTAAGCATTCTGAACTTGTTCCTCAACCAAAAAGTCCACGTAAAATACAATTTGCGCAACGAAGATCACAGAATTCAACTCTTAACGAAGGTAGTGACGTTTCATGATACATCATCTCAAACTTCCCGCTCATGCGGCGATGTGTTCGGCGAGATTTGACTGAATGCTAAATAATCTGAAAACATCAAAAAGGCTATGATGTTCGTCGTGTAATATTAACTGTCTTTTACGCGAGGTCTGACAGGCATGGCGGTTGTATAATCGCAAGGAGGAACTGGCGGGAGAGAGAAAATTGTTGAGAACTTGGCGCAAATACATTCTTAGGATTCAATTAACCACCCCATTGATTGCGTTCGGTAATTAAACCTGGAAATGGCATCCGTCGTGTAGCTTCACCCTGTCTAGAGGTTTTTTCCCTTTTTTCCACCCCCTTATCGATCTTAATTCTGCAATTTCCTTCGATGTTTTCCATCTTCCCCTTCTCCCGTTGTCAACCGGGATGTACAGTGCCGTGCATCTGAAGCAGTGGCGAAGCGTGAATAATCGATTTTCGATATTTTCTCATTTGAAGCTATGGTAAAAGATCGATTATTAAGGTGTTCGTTGCGAATACCCTATTTATCGATCCTTTTCCATTGGTTCAAATGGCAGATCAATCGATATATCGCAAAGCACGCCACGCCACTGATCTAACGATGGTTGGAGATCGTTCGAGTATTACGTAACATACTTGAAAGGACATTTGATTCAGCGTCACGATAAGTTACGAAGAGAAGAGCTAGCGGTACGGAACAGCCGAAATTTTTTTAAAAAAATGCGTTATTATTGTGGGGAGTACGATTATGCGATCGCACTTTTTTCATCGAAAAATAGGAATGAAAAGGGAAGGCCTCCAGCCCCACCCGGCATTAGATAATTCTTGAGAAGAGTGTAACGTTGTTTTCAAGACACGGTATAGTGGGGAAAGGTGTGGGAATATGAAAAACGTGCTTCACGCAATGATTTTTATCATGTTTCGAATATTCTGTAGACTTCATTGTTGACCTCCGATTCTGAATTTTCTTTCTGTAATTGTCTAGGGAAAAAAAATTCGGCGACTTAGGATCAAATAATGGGAGTTGTATTAGGTTGATATTTTCTTTGAGTAAATACTTAAAAAGCGCAATATATCAATGACCATATTGCGAAACCAAGTACCTCCATTGTAGCGTTTCAAAAATTCCTCTCCTGCTTTATTTTTCCTTAATGAAACAAGCCAACATTTTTAACTTATACTAGCCGTTCTGGGCGCGCTTCGCGCGCCCGTCACGCCTAGCCGGGGGCTAAGCCCCCTGGACACCCGGTCACTCGCTACGCGAGTGACATTCGGCTCGCTTCGCGAGCCAATTTTGTAGTAGTTGCAAATTTTTTATCACTATATTTTGAAGATTTCATAGAAAACATTATGAAATTCTCACTCCACAATTAACTTGTAGAATAATAATGGCAGGGCAAGAAATAGACTATATCTTAAAATGGACGGTTCCCACTTAGTAAAAACAGCCAACACCACGTGAAGGTGAGGAACCATCGTTAGCCACTTTTTTTTTT